ATAAGAAGAGATTTATAAATGCAGTACCAAAATACATGGTTATACAGTATTATAATATAACCATAATCATACATATTATGTTTACAATATCGTGTTTTATGATTAAAAATAATTGCACAATTTCCCTCTGAGATTACATAAATCTCACTTCACCTCGGCTGGTCTGATGGCTTTGTTGTATGTAAACCAACCGAACATGCGGGTCGCTCCTTGGTAACAGGCTTGCCAGAGACAGTATACTGAAACCTGCCCTCTACAGTATACTTTACAGTATACTGTATCCTCAATTTATATTGTACTTTATACTGTAATTGTATTAAAATTAGTTTTGACCATTCATCTAAACGTTTAACAATCCCAAACTCTTAGTTTTAATTGATTTTATAAAAGGTTTCAATAATTATTCTACTTAGCTTTTGATAGTGTCACTCGCAACAGGTGGAGTATGGATGTAACACATAAACAAACCAATTGTTGTGAAATATAGCTTTGTCACGCATTATAGCATATTTGTACTGTATTTTCTATAGGAAGATTAACTAAGTTACATAGTTTGCTTAAATTTGCACTCGATTCTTCCGTGTGCACGCCAAAAAGCCCGTCCTACGAAGTTATACCAAGCGCGTGTAGACGGAAGAATCGAGTGCGAATCTACCCGATTTGTTCAGCGCCGCGCGGAGTTCGGAACTGGGACGGGTGGTGTCGTCCTGTCCAACTACTAGAGGTCACGAATTGTGGATATTTATAGGCATGCACTGTGAATGCGATACTCCCTGGTGTGGATTAACGTCTGCACGAGTGAGTAGGCTACTGCGACTATCCGCAGTACTATCCTGATAATAGGACCAATTCGTATATACCTACCAAGCCAAAATGTGGTTCGGATCCCACTATAAACTGTAGGTCTCTTAGTTGCTATTAGCTGTATGGGCTATTAATTAACAGCTGTGTCTAAGGAATGTCGGCCTTAGTCACTAACAAGACTACAAGATCGCGCCACTCATCCTACACTCATCTCCATTCATACTTGGCTCAAAATACCTAATTCGTATGGTCGCAATTTAATAAGAAAGAAATAAAGTATTCGCCTGAGATAGTCTCTTCAAGAAATTACATAGAACACAAGGAAACGCACAAAATCACGTTCTAATATAACATACTCCCTTGTAGACGTGACACCCCTTTTAATCAGCTAAAAATCCTATCAATCCTTTGTATTAAAAAAAACTTTAATGTATAATTTTTTATAGGAAGAAATGTTGTTTTTTTTTACCACATAAAACAAACCATTAAAACAGTTTAAATGATTTTAACAAATATATATTTTTATTATTTTGTAGCCTTTTGCCTAGTCATTGATATTAGGGCAAAAGAATAAAGCACGTAGTGTAAAATCAACCCTAATTTAAGAGGGAAACGTACAGTTGACATAAAGGTACTCATACGTAGTCAACCATCACTGTGTCCAACCTGAGACCTCATATCTACAACAGAAGTTAGAAGCCGAAGGCACTATGATATCGCCATTTGGCTGAAACCTTCTCAAGCACACCTGTATACTGTAAAAAGTTTTTTTCAATTTGTCGTATTGATTGGATGGGTGGTTTAGTTGGCCTACTGTAATGTAACGCATACGAGACATACATTTGACTTATTATCAGGATAGTACTGCGGATAGTCGTAGTACTCACTAGTGCGGACGTTAATCCACACCATGGAGTGTCGCATCATATCTAATATGAGTGCAGAACGGCGTGAAATGATCTGTGTAGCTTTGGTGAGTGAAATTAGCTGTTCCCTTGGCCAGTATCATGATCAACGACACGTGGGTCCAGTTTCGAATAATTGAAAAGTTACTGAGTTTTCTTGAGACGAAACGATTACCTTCTGCGTGTTAGACAAGCATTGTAGGCTACCCTTTTCTAGTAACCCACCTATCTAGAATGAAGACAAACCAATAAGGGCTTTTATCTTCTATCTATTATCTACAGTTAGATATTGTTGTCGTGACAATAAATAAAGCGATCGCCTAACATATTGTACAAATGTTTAACAGTTAAACAAATGTTGTATGAAGTATATTTTAACAGTAAAGAATTTTCTTAGCTTTACATAATTAAGTCTTGAAGCCATAACTTATCCGAACATTGTGAAAGCTTTATGTAGTTGAGATAAAGTTGACTCTTCAAACCCAGTGACGACAGATACATAAATACAGAGGTTGCAACTTTTAAGACCTACGCAAATAACTTGTTAACTAGACGGAAAGCACGCCTATATAAACTTTCATAATTCTGAACTTTGTTATGGTAGTGAATAACGATACTCATAATGGGGAGAATTCTGTAAACTGTTATTTGGATTTATATAATATTTATTTTAAATATTTACGTACCGGTACCTTTTATAAATAAGTTGGGGCTTTCATCTGTCTTTTGATAGCAAAAGCCAGGAAATGACGCATTGGATTTCAATATTTACTAAGTGAGTTGATCATACTATGCACTTATTGCGTACTTTCCATAGTTATGTTTTGTAAATAGGGTATAGGTCATAATGCATTCATTATGTAATTTGCATTGCGATAAGCTGTACGATTATAGTAACAATATCTTTTCTATTTTTTCGCTTTTTTACCTAAAAGAAAATTACATTTTAGTTACCCACTCGTCCATCCGCTGGATCGTAAGCTTTATGACACAAATGACACATCAATCATAAAAATTGGTTAAGTAACACGGCTGAAAAGTGGTTACAGATTGATCAACTAACCCTGCAACACTCTGCAGGTAGGCATATATTTATGTCATGCAGACATGTATGTTACAGTATGTCTGAGAACCCGTATTTAGTTACGTTTTTTGATCGAATTTAGCAGGCCTATAGGATGAAAGAAATTCCATTTGATCAAAATATATCCATAAACAAGCATACTACGACCTTTTCTTTATAAGAATGCCATGTATTTATTGTCTACTAAATCTTTAATTGTAAAGCAATGCTTCAATGCACAAAACTGTTGTTTTAAACTGTACTCTCTACTCGATCTATGTAATGAAAATTGGGCATTTCTAGGTTTTACAAGTAAGTTAAACCATTTGTTTTAACAAAGGATTGAGGTTACAATCGGGGATGTTGTATAATAATGCAATTGATCGCAGGATTTGCTAAATCACTCAATCTTAATCAATTTATTAAGACAGAGATGTACTTGGTGTCCGTATTTTAAAATGAGAATGAATGTCAAATGAGTGTGGAATGGAAGGTATGGCATGTGGGATGTTTAACTGACATAGACCTGTTTTTACTTAGGACATGAACATTAAAAAACAACGGTTAAGAATAAATCAGTCCATTGTCGAGATTATATACTCATACACTAGGAAATTTAAATTATCAACCATTAACAGCAATTTCCACGTTGGGAGTTTCCAATCTGACTTTGAGTACAGAGCGAGGTAGACTTACAAGAACAGGAAAACATCTCGGAAGTAACCATACACCTCTGTAATAACAATGGTAAATGTATAGATACTTCTTAAAAAGACGAGATGATTTTGTGACTGAAATACCTACTGAATACTTTCTCAGTTTTCTTGAGATCGTTCTTAGTGTTTGGGCACAGTCATTGACTTTGGATATTCCAAGCAGACAATTCTTCCTAGAGTGAAATCTGGAGCATTTTCGATGCACGTTTCATTCCTGGCTCAGCCTGAGAGTGTGATGATGACTTTATAACAAGCAATCGTTCATTCATAGAACATTTTGGTGGGTTGAAATAGTTTTAAAATTGGAAAATAACAAGAAATTAGAAAGATCTGACAAAAAACACTCTACATACAGAAATGACAAAAATACCTTAAAATTGGTGAGCTATTCCATAAGCTTGGTAAATATTCTTGGAAAAAGTGTGTTTAATCTAAATCGGATGGTCGGATACTAAAACGACTTTTGTTGCATTTTTTAGTACAACTCAAGTAGACTACCTATTATTGTTGACGTGCTAGGCCTATTAATTGTGCCCTACTAACAGGTAAGTAGATCTAACAAATCTATATATACACATTCCCTTGATTGACTAGACATGTTTGTCCTATGAGAAGTTATCAGAAGCAGGCTATAGCATACGTTGGCTGAAATGTAGTAATTTTGACTATGGATAACAGTGTAATTAACTTTCCCTAAAAACAAATCCCATCAGTCAATGTGTGTGTTGTTTGTACAATCGTCGGTTTCGGTTTTACGGCGCATTTTATTAGCGTACGTAACAGAAATAGTTTTTAATCTTTCAGTAAAACCATAGATAAAACAAGGGAGTACGTTTTATCTATGGTAAAGCTGAATGACTAACATTTTAAAGCTAAAATATACAATTTTTTAAATTTTTTTGAAGATAAAATTTTTAGCCAATCGCACTTAGCATGGTTTGCTATAGATTTTCAAAATAGATAACTTATATTATTTATGCAGGATTACAATGAGGCAATAATGACACAGTTAACGATTAAATCATAATAGAACACACTAGAATTATACGAATTTCAAGCATCAATTATTTTAAATGTTTATTTTCCCCCAGAATAATAAGCCAATATTTCTATAAACCAATATAAAATTAATTGTAGTCTAAACGCTTTCATACAATTCCCCTTAAAATATTTGAACAAATCTGTATAAGTAGGCACGTTGGCTGAAATGCAGTAATTTTGAGTATGGGTAACAGTGTAATTTAAACTTTCAATAAAACAGACCCCATCGGATACTCAAACAGCTTGTGTTGAATTTTTTAGTACAACTCAGGTAGTACTTATTATTGTTGACGTGCTAGGCGCTAGGCCTATTAATTGTGACCTACTAACAGGTAAGTAGGTCTAACAAATCTATGCCTACACATTCCCTTGGCACTAGACATGTTTGTCTTATCACTATCAGTCAGCAGTCAGCTGATGTGTGTGTGTTGTTTGTGTGCACGTGTGTGCGAGTACGAGAGTTGTACTAACCTGTATTGCGTGTAGCCGCACTCCGCGAGCCCGGCACCCACTCTGCCTCACTCACACTCGCATCACATCGATCAGCGCACGCGCAAGCGCGCTCACTCGCTCACAATCCGATTGTTTTAATTAGCCAAACCTATTCTCTTCCTGACCTTTCGTCGCGAGCCTATGCCAACGTAGCCTACTTCGCCCAGGATCGATCCCGTCAATCCCGTCCTCACTGGGGCAATCTTCGTATAGTGTTTACGCTCTAACCCCGATCCAGTGATTTGTTTGTCAATCAAACCCCGTCAGTTGCCCTGAACTGATTAAGGTGCAAGTTAGGTTAGGTCAAATTATGTGTGTATGGATTATTAACTATATATAGCATAGATGAAACAAAACATACCCCTTTAGTAGATGTCTTACCCTTATTGAACAGCTGAAGCCAATTTTATTGTTAGTTCTGTCTGGTGCAATGCAAGGGTCGTGTGTTGTTTACAATTTGTTTCTTGTTATTTCAGTCATTTAACATCTCGTTTATCCAAATAAAACGATCTAATCATAAACAATAACTCGTCCTCTAGTTCTATACCCAAACAGTAAAGCACAAATCATGAAATTAACTGTAAAATAATGGAAACAAAATTTCGTCTATACTAGCGATCAGTGTGAACATGGACTAAACACAACGGTAGCTTAATTTCCAATGGGATGAGATGTGTACGATATATTTTATGCACTCTCTCACCTAAGAGCAGGATCGGATTCTAGATCTTGAGAAGTTGTGAAAACTTGCATTTTTCTAATCGTGATGGAAAGTAAGCAATATTCCCTCAAACATTAAAACTAATCATCACCAAAATTTAACTTAGAAATATACGAGACCTCTCCCCGTGGTCGAAAACTCAACCAAAAGTAAATATAGTAAAACTTCTTGAAAATAGTTTCAACCCACGCTGCAAATAAAACATGTGAATGGAATTTCTTTAATTTATTTTGATTTTCAGTTTATATTTTGTTATTTTGTCACCAACATGGCAAATTAATTTTGTTATTTTGTCACCAACATGGCAAATTAATTTGTGTTATTTTTGTTTAATTTAAAATTCATTTGTTGTGCATATTTTTGAGCCTATTTAAATTTATAAATGGATTACTGCACATCAACAGGAAAATATCTTTCATCTGGTAGGCCTACCAACCGCGTGTAATTCGGTCCGGTAGTATAATCATGCTAGCTGTCATAAGTTTTGCAAAAGTTTATTAGCATACAAGATTAAGTTACGATAGTTAGTTCTCTTCCATGTGTGTTTAAATAGAAAATATATTTTTTATTTTGAACGTAATGAAAATGTAACCCAAATACATGTAAATATAAATAAATGTAATGCATATGATGATCCAGACTATGTGGTGGAAACTTTTGAAAACAATTTCGATGATTATATAACTTGACTTTTAATATGATTTCGCATTGGTTTTCATAAGGACAGTCATGCAATGAACTTTTACTAACACATTTTTTGCAATTTAATCATTAACAGTTTACGCCAACACGGTTTAGGATTAAGCTAAAATATCTACACAGTCGTAAGCAAAATTGTATAGACACAAAAACACTTAAAATCTTAAGCTCACTTATTGAAAGTAATGTTTTGGAATATAGTTGAAACAACTCGAAAGAAAAAAAAGGAATAAAAAAGCCTTTATTTATGCAGGCATTATTCTAAAATGTGTTAATCTTATGAAGAATAAGTCAACTGATATAGTTTGCTTTTTTATATTTTGATCAAACTTGGCAAATTTATTTATTTTATACTAAGGGGCTATTTTTGTTCTAAAACACACTTTATAACCATCCCTTTAGCAGTAAACTTATTTGTTAAATTTAATAATACGTTTAATTGAAATCCAATCAGACAAATTAACCTGCTTAGTCTGCAGATTTGCTATGACAGGGGTATTTTATTTTATTGAGACCATGAGACCTATGTTAATAGCTTTTTCCCTATATGGGAAATTTGCTAAAAAGTGGTTGAAGACGCATTACATTATTTTAGCACCAAGAATTAAGAAGTTAATCCTAATGTTATTTTCATAATAATTGTATTAGGTACTTATTTTTTACTATGTCTAAATATTTTTGAACAAAATCTATAGAGATCTAATCACTCATAAAAACATAATTCACAATATTATAATTTTGTCTTCCATCTAGAGTTGAGTGTTTAGCTAATACTGAAAATACATTTATCAACTAATAGGCGTTTTATTTCGCACAAGTTAGGTGATGTTTTTGGCACATCGGATATTTGGTCTAGAGCCAGAAATCATTGAACAAACACAGGGGGATCTAATTTATTCAGGACTCTTAAACAACCGTCGTCCACTTAACAACAAATTCTCGTTATGGCCGTTTGTTAATTCCATTAGCTTCTCACTGAATTATTAATCCAATCCATTACTTGGGTTTTATCTGGGACAATGAACTGCTATTGTATGTAGGGATATATTTATTAAAACTGACGAAATTGGAATTAGTGTGTTGTTATTATCAGAGACAATAACTACCATTTATTATCATCATTTAGGTACTTCATATTTCCATTATATCCAAGTTCAATGTGTACATTCATTACTTGTCTAAAGTTTAGTCAATCAGCTGAAATATAGTATATTTCATCACTAAGGCGTAAAGTGACTGTTTTCGACCTGAGCTTGAGTTTCGCGACCGGGGCGAAGCCAAGGTTGGAAAATGTACGAGGTTTGTAATATGCCCGTGTGTAATTCAACTATACTGTAATTTCGCCATATTGCACCATTATTTAATTTGAGCAAACTGAGTTAGAAAACGAATATAATACTTTTCATATAAAAAGTAAGCCTTCAAAACTACCTCAAACTTGCCTTCAATTTTGCTAATACCTCAGAGTTATTATTACTCTGAGCTAATACTTTTATACTTTATTCTGAAAAGACGACAAGACGAATATAGTTATTTTGAGCCAAGTAGAATGGTGATGAGTAGCGCGATCTTGTAGTCTTGTTAGTGACTAAAGCGACGGTCAATTCACACCGCAACCGCAGCGTAACCGCGGCTCCAACCGCTGCCATGTGTACGGTCCTAGGCGGCCGCCGCTGCGGCCACCGCGGCGGCTGCCGCCCTCATGTGTACAGGGCCTAAGGCCGACATGTTCCTCAAGACATAGACTAGACACAGGTTTTAATTAATTGCCCATACAGGCAATGGCAACTAAGGGATCTGCAGTTTATAGTGGAATCCGAACCACCTTATCTTTGCCTTATAATTAACAATTTGGTCTAATTATAAGGAACTGTGAATCGTCGTAGTAATAAATAAATATACTAATGCAAACAAGCAGCTCTTTAGTAAGTGGTTCAATCATTTCGTCTATTAATTTTGTATTAATGTACAGTATTCAATCGATGAACTATTGGCATGGATTCAACAATAAGCTACAACCGATTAATTCAATCAAGATTACACAATTTTGATTCGTGCTATTACTTACAATCGAAGATTACAACTGTATTTATAACAGCTGAACTTTACTCCCTAGTGAGTAAAAGAGTTACTTTGAACCAGCAACGCTAAATTAAAAACTGCTATTTTTGGTTCAGTGTGAGGAAAAATATTTTCAAGTATGGCCGAGACTCTGGGTATGGTGTAATTGTAACAGAACACGATACACACGTGCAACCCGTACATAACATGACACATAGAACTCTCGAAGCAAACATACTAATCGCACAAAATAACACTGACTGGAAAATTTCACTTTTACGACATTCCAGCCGGTCACTGCTGCCCCAAATACAACTGATTAAGAAACTACACCAAAAATATCAATTATAAATTTTACATCATTATTTCAAAAACCCCTAAATTTTTGTTAATTTATCAGAACTTCAGAAACTTAAGCCAATTCTACAGCTTATGAAAAGGTAACGGAATCTAAAATGTTGTAAAAGTTTACACAATCTTTGTGCCTCCAGTCCATCCGGAGGCTTACCCGCAGTTACTTTGAGTGACGCAACTCAGGAAATAAACTCGCAGCACTCGCTACGATACTCAACGTTGTTGTTCACCCACAAAACATAGAAAGAGTACAACAAACAAAACGTAAAGTAGACTGGAACAGTGTTAATAGCTTAGTATTACACATTTACACCATTACACCCTAATTTGGAACAAATATTTTATACACTCCGACTTTTGAAACCCTTAAAGCCTACGTTACCTGCTCCCCCAGCTGAACACTGTCCAACAACTCACTACCCAACAGCTACAAACAAAACTGACTCCCAAATCAAACAATGCATAAAAATGAGCTAGAGCTCTTAACAGAACAAAATTAAAAACTAAACTTGAATGAATAAAAAAAAATCATCGCAGTCTTTCAGAAACTAAAACCAGTCTCTCAGCAAATGTTAGTTTTAAAGATATATTGAGGTGTTTAAAAACTAAAAAATTTAGGTACATGTCCTCTCTGGGTAAAAGCGTTACTGTATTTAGGTTTTCCTCGCGGCCCTTAGCAATTCTTGCTCCAGAGTGAAGCAGACATTTTGCAGAGTGAACAAGGCACATAAAAGTTCCACACAGGCTAAACGGTACGTAATTGATTTATTTATTCATCTTTAGGTACCTATTGATTTTTTTATTCACATATACTAAAACAATACTATAGATAAAACATACCGGTACTAGTCTATGACAATACTTTATGCCTAAAGAAACAATTACTTAACACAAAATATTGTGCAACGAATTGGGTCGTTTAACTATTAACATCTATTATACTATACATCCTACACTCATCTCCATTCATACTTGGCTTAAAATACCTACTATGTATGGTCGTCATTTCATTGAACAGTATTAACAGAACAGTACCGGTACATCGTATGATCTTGTTATAAAATAATAATATATCAAGACGTGTATTTTATGACTGTATTTGTAGCTAGATGATGGATGTTCTACCAATCATCCAAGCATACGTGTTTTGCGTATATATATTATCAACGCTC